AATCAAAACCAAAATGAGATACCACTTCACACCCACTAGGATGGCTGTTATCTACAAGATGGACACTAGCAGGGCCGGGTTGTGGGTAACCCCCCATATAGGCACTGAGGAAAGAGACCTAAGCAGAACCCTGGCACAGTTAGGGCTTGAAGAATATCTCAGTTTATAGTGTTATGACTCAGCGATTTCCTTTTATATAATCATATATTAGTTTATAGGATTAGGGCTTGAAGAATCCCTTTATACAATCCTCTATATATAAAATCATATAATAGTTGATAGTCTGAGTGCCTAAAGAATATTTCCCTACATATATATAATTATATCTTACTTCATAATCGGAGGAATGCCTAGAGTGGACACAGAACAGAGCATGAATTAAGGGAAAACAGTTACACCAGGACAAGAATCCGTGGCCCAGGCGGCAGCGTTCAGTATCGTAAAGATGCCCGCTGTATGGCAGGCTTGGGGGGAGAGCCACTCCTCCTGATAAAGGAGTTGTAGGACCTTGCTCCAGTTCTTGAGGAAGGCTGCCCTCAGAACGGTGATCCACCTTGGTGACTGTGAACTTTATCAGCTCTTGCTACTGTGCTGCTTGAAAAGCATCTTCCCACAGAACCCACTGGAAGCTGCCAGAAGGTGGCGGTAACCCTGACAGCTCTGTCACTGCTGTGTGACTTAAAGCATCCCCCCATAAACCTTAGAAGTAGTTTTCCCATAGATAGAAGTATTGCACATTGCACCCCCTTACTGCACACGGCCGACCTTCAAGCCTCAGTGACCTAATGGGGGTGGACCCCTTACTGCACACGGCCCTTGCCTTCATGGGAACGGGTCCCATGCTGCACACTGTCCACCTCCTGGCCTAGGTGACCTAATGGGGGTGGACCCCTTGTTTTATTGCTCACGACCCTATCACTATCCTTAAAGATGATTTCACTCACTGCCCTGCCTCCTAACCTATACACAATAAATACTCACACTTCTGGACATTCGGGGCCTCACCTGACTCCACTCATAGGTGGCGTGGCCCCCAGAGCCCAGCTGTGTTTTCCTTGTACTTCTGTGTCCTGTCTCTATTTCGCGGATATCTTGCGCCTCAGCACAGCACAAGGCTCACCCCACGACCCTGTGGGCCATCGCAGTACGCTGGGGGCAGTGGCTTTGGCCTGTAATCCCAGCACTTTGGAAGCCTGAGGCGGGCAGATCACCTGAGGTCGGGACTTCGAGACCAGGCTGACCAACATGGAGAAACCCCATCTCTACTGAAAATACAAAATTAGCCAGATGTAGTGGCACATGCCTGTAATCCCAGCTACTTGGAAGGCTGAGGCAGGAGCATTGCTTGAACCTGGGAGCGGAGGTTGCGGTGAGCCGAGATCGTGCCATTGCACTCCAGCCTGGGCAACAAGAGCAAAACTCCATCTCAAAAAAAAAGAAAAAAAGATGGACACTAGTAAGTGTTGATAAGAACGTGGAGACACTGGAAGAAGCCAGTCACAAAAGACCATGTACATGATTTCATTCACGTGATGGTACACAGTAGGTCTATAGAGGCAAAGAAATTAATAGTGCCAGGGGCTGGGAAGGGAGAGAGATGGGGAGCGAACGACTGCGTATAGGATCTCTTTTAGGGGCAATGAAAATGCTCTGCAGAGCCAGGTAGGAGTTGGACACACTGGTCTTGGAGACCAGGGTTAGGAGTTTCACTTTATTCTGTGAATGATGGGCATCCCCTGAAGAGTTTTACATTCAGCCTGGTGTTAAAGATCTCTACGGCTGCTGAATGGGCACCGAGGAGACAGGTGTGGCTGGGAAAAAGCAGAGTAGGCAAGGCAGGAGGCCAAACAGTAAAGATGGAGGGACGTGGGCCCATGAGAAATATCAGGGAGGAGGCGAGGGGCAGTGGCTCATGCCTGTAATCCTAGCACTTTGGGAGGCTGAGGTGGGCAGATCACCTGAAGTCAGGAGGTCAAGACCAGCCTGGCCTTCACATGGTGAAACCCCATCTCTACTTAAAAAAAAAAAAAAAAGGATGTAGTGGCACATGCCTGTAATTTCAGCAACTTGGGAGGCTGAGCCAGAAGAATCCCTTGAACTCCAGAGGGAAGGTTGCAATGAGCCAGGATCTCCCCATAGCCCCCAGCCTGGGTTACAGTGAGACTCTGTCCCCCCCAAAAAAAAAGCGGGAGAAATGTGGAGCTTGAGCCCATGTCATTACTGAAAATCAGAACAGAAATCCTGCCTCCCTAACAAAGCAACCCTGACATTCTCAATGTTCCACCGCCCCTCCCTTTTTTTTTTTTTTAAGAGGAGTTGTGCTCTGTCACCCAGGCTGGAGTGCAGTGGCATGATCTTGGCTCACTGCAACCTCTGCCTCCCAGGTTCAAGCAATTCTCCTGCCTCAGCCTCCTGAGTAGCTGGGATTACAGGCACGTGCCACCATGCCCAGCTAATTTTTTGTATTTTTAGTAGAGACGGGGTTTCACCATGTTGACCAGGATGGTCTCAATCTCTTGACCTCGTGATCCACCCGCCTCGGCCTCCCAAAGTGCTGGGATTACAGGCTTGAGCCACCGCGCCCGTCCCTACACCTGGCTTTTTTTTTTAGTAGAGATGGGGTTTCACCATGTTAGCCAGGATGGTCTCAGTCTCCTGACCTCATGATCCGCCCACCTCAGCCTCCCAAAGTGCTGGGATTACAGGTGTGAGCCACCGAGCCCAGCCTATAGTTCTCTCTCAACACTTATATAGGCAGAGAGAATTCTGCACAGACGTATTCACTTATGTATTTTCATGATTTGTCCTTTAAGTGACTGCCAAAGTCCTGTTAAAAACAATTGAGGCGGCCGGGCATGGTGGCTCACGCCTGTAATCCCAGCATTTTGGGAGGCCAAGGCGGGTGGATCACCTGAGGTCAGGAGTTCGAAATCAGCCTGGCCAATATGGTGAAACCCTGTCTCTGCTAAAAATACAAAATAATTAGCCAGGTGTGGTGGCGCATGCCTGTAATCCCAGCTACTCAGGAGGCTGAGGTAGAATTGCTTGAACCTGGGAGCTGGAGGTTTCAGTGAGCTGAGATTGTGCCATTCCACTCTAGCCTGGGCAACGAGTGAAACTCTGTCTCAAAAAAAAAAAAAAAAAGAAAGCTAAAAACAATTGAGGAAGCCGGGCCTGGTGGCTCATGCCTGTAGTCCCAGCACTTTGGGAGGCCTAGGTGAGTAGATCATCTGAGGTCAAGAGTTTTAGACCAGCCTGGCTAACATGGTGAAACCCCATCTCTACTAAAAATACAAAAAATTAACCAGGCATGGTGGCCCGCACCTGTAATCCCACTACTCTGGAGTCTGAGGCAGGAGAATTGCTGAACCAGGGAGGCAGGGGTTGCAGTGAGTCAAGATCGTGCCACTGTACTCCAGCCTGGGCTACTCTGTCTCAAAAACAAAACCACCAAAAACATTGAGGCCAAAGCCCAGCTAAAATGCCTGGAGGGTGATTTTATATCATATATCATCTTACAAAGAAAACAGAAGGCCACAACGGAGATTTCTTCTTGGAAAATGGGAGACTGACAGATGAGTCTCCCCTGCTGATTTAGCAGGGGAGACCCCTGTGATCCCCACCTAGGAGGTGCTCCTAGGGGCACTGAGAGGCAGGGGAAACCAGCCAGGCTCAGGTGGGGACTGAAGGCATCCACCCAGCCTCAGAGGAGGTATTCACTGGAGAAAGTGACAAGAGGCTGCAAACTTGGGGACAAGTGGGCTGAAGATAGGCAAGTCAATGACGAGGCTGCCAGTCACAGTGGGGTTCCTGATACCCCATCATCCCTAAGCCTCAAACAATGCTGGACACAGAGAACATGAGCCCACCCAGCAGGCACGCGTTTCCTCTGCAGAAACTCTAAAACTACCGGGGTGCTCACCCTGGGAGCTCTCTGTTGATCCACCAACTGTGGAGCCCCATCAACAGGCCAACCCCCCACACCAGGGGTCCCAAGTCCAGGGGAGCCTCCCACAGGACGCCAGTGAAGAGGCAGTGGCCTAGAATGGGGCACAGGGAGGACACCCTCCTCAGGACCTCCCAAACATGCCATTTGGCGTCACTGTATTGAAAGGATCCTGGCCCTTAGTTGATTCTAACAGATGCTGTGGCTTCTCCAGGCAGCACAGCAGATTCCGACACCGAGGCCTGTGCATGGTTGTGTGTGGCTGCGACACCTTTGCCTTCCTGTGACCAGAGGCTCTCCAGCCACAGCACCAAGGTCTCTGACATGGCCCTGGCATCACCAAAAGGCTACAGGTTTCTCCTTTCGGAAGAAGATGGTGGTCTTCCCAGTTCCTTTCAGAGTCCTGGTATAAGAGCCTACTTCTCTCCATGCTGGCCTGTCAGTGTCCTCTCCCATGGGGCTCTTGTCCCCATGCCCTTCCTGCTCCTGGGCGCTGGCCCCACTGTGTGGCCTGCCCTGCCCCTCGTGGGCATCTCACCTGGGCTGACTCAACTCCAGGGAAGCCAGGCCAGGCCACGTGCTCCTCCCTGCTCCATCCCAATCCCACCCCAAGGCTCTGGACTTGCCTGGGCCCCACGCTATGCACCCTGGGCCTCCTCTGCAGGGCTCTAGCTCCAGCCTCTTATCCTAGCAGTAAAGATAGAGTCAGGTGGTCTCTGGGTGTCTCAGCTCCTGTCAGGCCCCCAAACCCTGGCCATGGTGTATTCTCCTTCCCAGCACCACAAAGCAATGCACACAGCCCTATGAGCCTGGATGGCACCCTCCAGGACTGAGAGAGTGCACCTGGGGCCAACTGGGCCCAGTGTGTACCTGAGGCTCACTTCCCAGGGCTGATGCAGCAGTAGAGTGCTGGTTGGCAGGAATGCTACCTGGTAAATGGACTACAGTAGCCCTTACCAGGGAGGAGGTGTGAGGGAATGCCAAGCTCTGCAGGCAGAGGCTTCTCGCTCCCATGTCTTGGGGCCCTACATGGACAGTGAGCCAGAAGCTCAAATAGCAGCTGAAACAGACACTTGTTTATTTCCCTGGAAGGAGTCAAAATGAGGTCCTTGGCAAGTCTCTGTCCCAGCCTGGTGCCCTGGACAGGCAGATCTCACTTCCAGAAGAGCACATTCCAGAAAAGCAGCCAGCAGGGGTAGAGGCCCAGGGACAGCAGTGGGAAGAGCAGGGCACCGTAGGTGTGATGCTCCAGCACACCCTGGGCCAGCGCTGCCAGGAAAAGCTGCCAGCCCTCGGCCAGTGACAGTGGCGCCTCCTGCAGTTCCCGCCACAGGAACAGGCTGCCAAGGAGTGTGGCTGCCGGGCTTGTCAGCACCAGCAGGGCAGCATAGAGGGTCCTGAGTGGAGAATCAACATCAGGATAGGCTCCATGGTGGGGACAGGGGCACCAAGTTGGGGAAAAGGGCTACTAAATGAGGGTGAGGCTGCGGTCTGTGGTGAGGGCACAGGCACTGGTGGAAGTGGGGCTAATCCATGCATACCGGGACCCATGAGGCTTGGCGAGCGCAGCAGCGGGCACCATAGTGGCGGCCAGCAGGAAGCCCAGTGAGAAGTTGGTGAGGGTGATGCAGCCCAGCTGCAGTGCTAGGTAGATCAGGGCTACAAGCTTCAGTGCCATCCAGCCCCTGTCTGGGGCCTGTGTGCTTACCACCCTGCAAGACAAAGGGCTCAGAGGCAGCTCATGGGCTGTCTTCATGTCCAAGGGACCTCTAGCCCCACCCGCCCAGCCAAGCCCCTCTCACCGGTGGGTGTTGTGGGGCAAGGCCAGGCCAGCTGCATAAATCGCCAAGAGCGTCAGCACCACAGCCTCAGCCTCTGCCACTGGGAAGTGCTGGGCGGCCACGTGTTGACCCAGCACTGGCAGGACATAGAGGGCCAGTCCCATGGCCTGTGAGATCAGCAGAGGTGCCACAAGCGAGGCCAGCCCCACACCCTGCAGGGCACACAGGCTCTTGGAGATGGGTCCTGGGGCAAGGGGATCCCCAAAGACCACCGCCACCCCACCAGCTGAGGTTAAGTTGCAACAGTAAACACCAGTCAAACCCTGGAAGCCCACTCCAACAACAGAAGTGGGTGCCGTCACCTGTGCAGGGGGCAGGGGGACACTGGGGCCAGGGCTCCCCCCAGGCTCCTCAAGGCCCACTCCGGCTTCATGCAGCTGCATCCACAGTTCCAGAGCGTAGCCCAATCAAGGACCCCAACAAGAGGTTTGATGGGATCTGCCCAGAGGGGACCCAGAGCTCACCCCTATACCCTACCCCCCATCAAGATGGAGAACTTTCCCCAGCCTAGAGTTGAAGAAACTGGAGGCTCTGCCACAAGTAGATGTCAAGGGGCGGAGGATATCTTGAGACCGAGGACCAGGAGCAAGAAGCCGGCGGCGGGCATGTAGAGGCCAATGGAGACGAAGCGGGAGAGGGCAGGGAGCAGGTAGAAGAAGAAGGACTGGTGCAGGCGCTCCAGGAGGTGGTTGAGCTTGCGGAACATGCCCTCCAAAGCCCTGTCAGGTGTGGGGCAGGTTCACGGCTGGCCAGAGCCACCAGGCCATGCCCCACTCCACCCCAGCTGGACACCATCCTGGGCATGGAAAAGGGAGACCAGACTACTTACTTGCCCACTGCTACCAAGTCATACTTGTACTGGCGGAAGCTATTGATGCCACGCAGGGTTAGGGCCTCCACACGGTAGCGCAGGAAGAGGCCATGGGAGCCATGGGGGCGGCCGGAGGCCTGCCGCAGAACCATGAGCAGCAGCATCTGCAGGCCCTGCAGTGGTCCGTCCAAGGAAGTCCAGTCCTGGGGCTGCAGCTTTAGAGGTGTAGGACAGGATCAGCCCCTCCTACAGACCCTGTGCCCTCCAGCCCTCAGGCAGGCAAACCCACCTTGCCCTGAAGCGTGCACAGCAGGCCCCCTTTCTGGCAGAAGGTTTGGAAGAGATTGAGCAGGTCAAGGTTGGGCAGCTGCCCGTTGAGCCCCTCCACAGCCACATCGAGGCTTGTGACCATATCACTGCTCAGCTCCAGGGCCACAGCGGCCTGAATGGCCCCAGCTCGGCCCTGCAGGGGGGATGACTGCATGCCTGTAAGAGCAAGTGAATGAACGCCAATGGGGGATCTGGTGAGGACAGCGGCCCTGAGAGGGGAACCAGGGCAGGACAAGAAAACCTACCAGTGACATTGACATCGTGGTAGGCTTCAAGCCAAGCCTCAGTACCCAGAAGGTCATGTTCTGTTACCAGGAAGATGATATCTTTGGCCCAGTATATCTGCCCTGCAGGCCAGAAGCAGGATCAGCAGGGCCTGCGGCACTGGCCAAACCCCTCCCTGGCCAGCAGCCCCGAGCCTCACCCCGGAAGTGGGCAGCCAGTGCCAACAACAGCCCCACAGCCTGGCTGTTGGTAGAGTCAGAGCCACAGGGCACGGTGAGCACAAGCGACTCGGTGCTGGCAGCGCGCGGGGCCCGCAGAATGCCGTACACGTTGGTGCCTGACACCATCTGCGCGGAGCATCGGAGGGAAGAGCCTCAGTGTCACCCTGCGGGAGGGGGCCAAGGTCCCGCCCCGGCTTTCCCAGCCCTCCAGTGCCCCCCAGGGATTTCTCTCCCACGGAACTTCCCGGCCCCATGACACCCCCCGGTGACACCCAGCCAGACCCCTCCCTCCAGGGTGCTTTCCGGGCCCAGGCACGCCCCGCTCTCCCAATACATAGCGCTCGTGGGTCTCATCCGGGAAGGGCAGTCTCCGGGAGAAGCGCTGCGCGTACACCTCCAGCCCGACGGACCGCATCGTGCGTTCCAGCCAGGCCACCGGCAGGGCCCTGCAGACACGAACGGAGCCCCTGAGCCGCTCCCCGGCCGCGGCAGCCACGGCCCGCGCCGCACGCACGGCCCCGCCGCTCACCCCGACTTCCTGCGCTGGGCAGCGAAGTCCCGGGCGAAGGCCCGGGCGCGGTCTCCGCCCGCAAACTGCTCCTCCACCATGGTGGAGCCCATGGCGTTCTCCGACATGTAAGTGCGCTGGGTCAGCGGCGGGAAAGCGAGCGCCAGGAACCAGGCGAGGCCCGCCAGGTAGCTCAGCACGCTGCGGGAGGGGACGCAGGGCACGGAGCGTCAGGGGGTCCCGGGGCCACAGCCTCCCCGCCCGGGGTCGACCGCGCGGGTCTGAGACCCGCACCCGGAGTCCGGCATCGGGACGCCGGACGGGAGAGCCGAGCCTGCGCGCGACCCCCTCCGTGCTTCCCGGGGGCAGGAGCGGAGGGGCGCGAGCAGCCGGAGGGACCCCGGCCCTCGATGGGGACCGCGCGAGGGGCCGCCGGCGGCGCGAGTCCAGGGCCCGCGGGTCCCCGCCTCCCCGGGCCCTGCCCTCACCACAGCGGCGCGTTGAGGCGCAGCACGAGGCGGGCGAGCGCGCGCCGACGCACCGGGTCCGACAGGAGGCCCATGGCTGGGCAGGGCGGCGCGGCTACGGACCCTCTCCCGCCTCCAGCTGCCGCCGCGGCGCCCGCAGGCGGCTCCTGTCAGACCCGGGGACCGGCGCTCGCCCGCACTTCCGGTCCCAGCGACACCCGCGGCAGCGCGCATGCCCAGAGCACAGGGCGCGCCCCCAGCGCTGTACCGCCGGCGCGCAGGCCCAGATCACAGGGCGCGCCCCCAACGCCGTACGGCCGGCGCGCATGCCCAGAGCACAGGGCGCGCCCCCAGGGCTGTACCGCCGGCGCGCAGGCCCAGAGCACAGGGCGCGCCCCCAGCGCTGTCCCGCCAGCGCGCATGCCCAGAGCACAGGTACCGCCGGCGCGCATGCTCAGAGCACAGGGCGCGCCCCCAGCGCTGTCCCGCCAGCGCGCATGCCCGGAGCACAGGTACCGCCGGCGCGCATGCTCAGAGCACAGGGCGCGCCCCCAGCGCTGTACCGCCGGCGCGCATGCCCAGAACAGCGGCCGGCCGGAGGGTTGGCGGTGCCGGTGAAGGCGGCAGGACCGGAGCGGGTTTTGGAGACCGCTAGGAGCTGCCTCCAGGAGAGTCGGACCGGCAATGCACCGACCCGGAGGAAGGCGGGTGGCCCTACGGCCGGAGAAGAGCAGAGAAGATGCCCGTCCCCTGACAGCAGGACGGCAGGAGTCGGAGGTGATGAGCCGGGCAGGGGGCGGAAAGCCGGCGGCGGTCAGAGAACAGGTGGCGAGCGACACTGTCAGTGACTCAGGACGTCCCAGCGGAGTCACAGCGGGAGCCCGGCACCAAGGTTTTGAGTCAGATGACTGCAAAGATGCTGATGGCACTACTGCCCAAAACGGGCCTCACTGGAGCTGGGGTGCGTGCAGTATAAAGTGGGGAGCATACTATCCCTGTCCGGGCCAGGAGATGCTTGGAATATTAGGGGAGAGGCAGCCCCGGGGTCCAGACTGCAGGAGCCGGTAGTCAGGGCTTGGCCAGATCTGTGGGTCAGAGGTGGATGAAGCGGGAGTTTGCTCAAGAAGAGGGTGCAGTTTGGGAAGCTGAGGTGGGAGGATCCCTTGAGACTAGCCTGGACAACAAAATGAGACCTAGTCTCTACAAAAAAAAAAAAAAAAAAAATCCTTTTAAAATTAGCTCTGTGGAGTGGGGCATGCCTGTAGTCTCAGCTCGGCTACTCAGGAGGATTGCTTGAGCCTGGGAGGTCGAGGCTGTAGTGAGCCGTGATCACACCACTGCACTCCAGCCTGAGTGACAGAACAAGACCATGTCTCAACAAACAAAAAAGTGGTGGGCAGAAAGAGTCAAAGCTGAAGACTCCATGTGAGAACAGGTTTTTTTTTTTTTTTTTTTTT